TATATTAAACTACTGTTTTACTCGTTTTTTTTAGAAAAAAAATCTTAAATGGTAATTATCATTATCCATAGTTAATGCGTTTGCTTGCAGCGCATAGTTTTTATCAGTGTAATAAATACAATTGAAAAAAACATACCGACCAAACTGAGAACTTCCTCCATATTGAAGTCGGTTAAAAATAGCGCTGTAGTAGCTCTATCTTTTGACAACCCTGCCTGCTGTTGTTGCATAGCTAAAGTTATTGTGGCACAAATTGACAGGTCCACCAGTCTTAGAAAACCTACATGTAGGTTTTCCAAAACATAGTATACTTTCTTATATACATATTTGACGTAACGTAGTTATCATAATAAAACATTAAAAATACCTGTTGTAATTCTTTTCTTAGAGTCACACGAATTAGCCTAGCCCCAAAGCACTTTGGCCCAATCTCGCTATTCCATCCATAGGGAAGGCCTGTGCCCCAGCAGTGGGGACATTAATAGGCTGATGATGATGATGATGAAAGCACTTAATGGCCTATGTACCATAGATCACATATAAAGTAGACAATGGTACCAAGTTACGTAAGAATACATTTTGTAGAAATATACATAAACAGTTATGACTCAGGTACAATTGCTCGTATTCATCACACAAACATTTGCACCTACCGAGGTTCGCAACTGGGACCTCAGTGAGAAGGCGACACCTAGGAAACTGGTGTACTCACCACTATACCAAATAGATCGTCATCAAATATATCATTTTATTGATCAATCAATATATTTCAGTGATTGCATGTCGGAGTCACCATGCTTACGACTAACGAGTTTGGCGTTATGATACTATTATCAGTATTTGTTGTTATAGTCGCAACACAAATATATCATTTGTGAAAATTTAAACTGTTTAGCTTTCACGATTTATGACTCATGAATCATGAGAAACAGGCTGGTGACAGACAGACAGACGGACTGGCAGGGGGACAAAGGGGTCTTAGTAATAGGTATGTTTTTGTACCCTTTGGGTACGGAACTCTAAAACTTGTATGCGACTTTAGAACAAAACAAGCCCTAGAATATTTTATTGGTAATAACACTTCTTATACAAAATAATGAGTTTACTTGACATTCCCAACATTGTGTTCGACAGCATATTATCATGGTGAAGAAATAAATGCATCTATCTATTCCCAAGCCTTAACCTCCTATAAGACGAAATTATACCGTTATGGAGAAAGCTGCGATTGTAGAACGCCGGCGTAGTAGTCACAGCGACGCAAGCGCATGCAACGCGCGCTACCTAAGAAGTGGTAATTTTTTTTAACAAATTTTAATGTTTGTGTTAATTAAATAGGTTTGAAATTTTCTTTGAAGAAGGTATGTCCATTTTATCTCAATATTTTAAATGAAATTTTGTGTGTAAAAGCAAATTCAGCAAGATATTTCAAAACTCTTTATTTCGATAACGCACTGTGTAAATAATTTACTCAATTATTATTACAAAAGCATTAAATCAAATAGCATCAAAAGATTTTAAATTAAATTCGTGGCTTTTTGTCCAGTTTATTTTTAAATACTCGAAACTTTTTAACTGACGTAAAAAAACGGAGGAGATTCTCAAGTAGACGCGTATTTTTTTTTAGATTATGATCACGAATAACTTTATCAGTACAGCCCGATTTTGACATTTTTTTTTATTTTGTTAGGGATATACCTCGAAATTGGTCCCAGATAAATTTGGAAACAAATTCCTGCCCTAAGGGTGGGAAAATGGGTATATACAGGTGCTATGCATGTCGGATAGATCTGAGGTCCCATTTACTATTTGGGTTAGCATGGCATCGACTCCAAATATTATTTTAACTAAAGATAATAAAGTTTTATTTTTTGCATTACACCATATTCGGTGGTTTAATTTTGTTGTTAAAAAGTTTTTTGAATTTATTAAGTTTATATTTTAGTGATAAAAACATCGCATTAATAATTGTTCTTTATTGTTCAAGTCATATTTGTTGTTCGTTTCAAAATTTTGTGTTGATTATTTATCTTACTTAAATATAATACTAATTAAAACATTACCTTTATATTCATCAAATATGAAGTCCATGTAGTGCTACATGTATTTACTGCATTTGCCCATAAAAGATGCCCCGAATGTTATTATTAAGTATTTTACTTCTGCCATTTGTTCTAAAACTGTTGATGTACCTACGTACTGATTAGTTTTAACGTAGAATCCATGAATAAAGGTGCAAATATGTTAATGCATCGTATACAAAAAGGCGTCAGTTCCTATATGCCTACCATTGCAATTAAGTAGTTACAAAATTACAACAACTGGAATCAATCACTTAATACGAATTTAATATCAGCTGATTGGTTTTCAAAAACAAGTCTCTTTTGAAACCGATCCATAAAATAAATATGTTGGCACTACCGATAAACAGTTAACCAAACAACTTTCGTTCTCCTACTTTCTACTGAACTCATGTGTCAAATAAACATTATACCAGCTATGGGGAATAACGAAAATGACGCCAAAAAGAAAAAACACGATGAAGTGCGAATAAAACTCGTACATGCTTCTCTTGTATTTTATCTTATTGACAATATGAAATACAGCTTTTGTTGATATCGCGATTCGAAAAGATTAAATTTCTGCTATAGGAGAAATTTGGCGATTACTTTTCTCTACTCCTTTGATTTTCCACTTAATATTATTTAACAGTAATACGCCTACTAATTGCTATCATGTGGTAGGTACCCAGTTTTTTTTAAGCCCATAATATTTCGACACTGTTACAAATGCCATAATTGCAGAGTAACTGTTACTCTGTAATGTTTTTGATTATAGTCACAATGAAAAGTACACCTTGGCGAAATGTCAATTACCAGTCATTTTGTTCAAGGAGCTCGTTGGCGCAAGTCGTTAGCGCGTTCGGTTGCGATCGTTGGAATTCAGCAACTTTCGCAATGGTCGGTCATTGGATGGCTGACCAAAAATTTACTATCTCGAGCTCCTCCGTAGGTAGACACGTTAAGCCGTTGGTCCCGGCTGCATCTGCAGTTGTTAGTACACACTACTCCGCACTGGCCCGCGTGATGGGTAATGGCCCAATCTCCCTATTCCATCCATAAGGCCTGTACTTCGGCAGTAGGGACAATAACAGGCTGATGATGATCCATTTTGTTTCCTGACATAGAGCCCGCTGGTAAAGGGACAAGAAATGTAGGCTCATTAAGAGAGTTTCGTTGTTTACCCTTAAATAAAAAAACCCTAACCCTAATTAGCTCATAGTGTCAAAAAAGTGTCACAACAAAAACCCAAAATAACTATAGAAACCTTATGCTTGAAAGTAATCGCGGTCCGTATGACCTTTGGATTTGGCACTTACCTAGACTCATGATTTCCAATAATGGTAATACGAAACCTGGCCGTGTTTTAACTTAATCAATTACGAGCTTTTTAAGAATCTGTGATTTTTAACCGACGAAAAAGAACGGAATAGGCTCTCAAGTCGACGCGTATAAATTTTTGAGTAGTAGATTTTGATTTTTTTTTGGTTAATTCTTTTTGTAAATGTTTTTATCTTATAATTTTTTTTTTGTTCTAAAGAGAATATTATCTAAATAAGTAAAATATTATCTTAGTCGAAAATAGGTCTCAAGCTGATGATACAATGAACATATTACAAACTTAAGTAGGTACCTATGTACCAAACTATTTCGAAATAGTTAATGACACCTTAGAACTAGGTTGGTATAACGACTTCGCAATTTAGAGAGTACTGTACCTAAGTCATTATTATTATTCCCAGGTACACGAAATATGCATTTTAAAACTTAATCTTTAAATCTTGCATACGAGGTTTCTGTGGTCTTAAATACAGTTTAACTCATGCATGGTAGATGTTGGTTTATAAGCATTTATAATGCAAGCTGTGGTTTTTAAACGTCGACAATTTGAAAATGTATTTTGAAGTAGTATGTAGACAAATGAAGATGATGACGATGGAAAGAGAGACTATAAGAACATTGTGTTGTGTATACCTACAAACAAATTTTACATTTCTTAATTAAAATTTGAGATACCTTTCTTAGTTCTGACTTCAATAACATAGCGTACTTTAAAGAGCAATTAACTTATTTTAAGTATCTACCACTATCCAATATATTATAATTTACGTACTCCTTAAAATAAACTCTCTCAATATACCTACCTATTTACTGAAAAATTAAACCAGTTCAAAGCTACAGAACTAGTTAAACCTAAAGTAACAATAATATAGATGAATTATCATTCAAAGTTATTATTATTAGGTATAAGGATAACGCTATAGGCTGGCGCATTTAATTGAGAGTTTTTGACCTTATTTTCTTGATTGAATTTCAAGAGCGTTACGTCAACTTTTCATGCTACTTATTCATCTTACGGTATTTACCAAAGGACAATATCCCGTTTATAATTAAAATCGAAAATTACCCAGATTTCCTTTATTTTATCAAAATATAAATAAACTTAATTGAAATACTAAAATTAAATAAACTATGAAAGTCAAACACAGTTTGTTTATTTCACTTTTCCCCCCCTTAATTACCTTTAAGTTACAACGGAATAGCACTCCGTTACTTAACTTACTTACTTAAGCGTAAATTAAGCATTAACACAATATTTTCACTTGCGACCGAAAGGACTTCAGGGCCCTTACCATGAACTTTCAACTCGGGGCAACTTTGATGGTAATGAGCAAAACAGAAGTTAAAACTTTAATAAACTTGTTTCGGAGTTTTTGAAGGCTTCCCTACTATTTTTGGATCGCAATCTTTCCTGTTACCTACAGCTATATTTATTCAATGCAAAGCACATTCTTCCTAATTGATATAAATCTATAAACTCACTCATATATCAGCTCTTAAACCCTAACTTTACTTGACTCGAATGATTATTTTCAGTGACAAAAAGAAATAAGTCTAGCAATCATGATGAATGACAGAAAGAACAACGTGAACACACAAATGACTACTGTATTCAACTTAGCCAAAGACACTGTGCTATTTCTGTTGCTGTCCTGCTACTACATCCTGGAGTCGATATTTTGGACCTTAGTGCCAAATGCTTTAAGGCCTATGAAAAGCCTCAAAGGAGATGTGGTGCTGATCACCGGAGGCGGAGGAGGGGTGGGGAGGCAGTTAGCCATTAAGCTGGCAAGACTTGGTGCCAAGGTTGTTGTCTGGGATATTAGTGTGGAAGGTAAGTTCATTAACCACTTTAAATTTCTATCTAAGGCAGCAAAGAACTTGATAGTCTCATTATGAATTCAGTTGACCTAGTTCTAGTGTAAGCGGCCGTAAACGTTAAGACTACAAATACCTATTAAACATAATAGATTTTATACTTAGATCGGTATCTACCTAGATTTACTTAGGACGTCAGTCTGGGTCTGTTTCCGCTCCCAGTTTCTATACTGTTAGCGTAAATAGTTAGGTACTTTTAATCGGTACTTTTATTTGAAAAAATATATATTTTCACTGTCGGCAATGTATCTTTACAAAGCATTGTTCTAAATTCTAGAAGAGCGGTTTCCTGAATGAAAATTTATTAAATATGTGTTTAATAAAATAAAACAAATTATTGTTTCAGGGTTACGAAAAACTTGCAAAGCTGTTACAGACGAGGGCTATAATATAGCCAGTTACGTAGTAGATCTCGCGGACAGAACAGCGGTCTATGCAACCGCTGAAAAAGTAAAAAAAGAAGTGAGTAAGCTATTTTTTTATAATATTTCTTTGTGAACAAAAGCAGGAATGCAAAAATAATTGCTTCTTTACTATGATAGTGGTGTGAAGAAGCTAAATGCAGGCCGGCAAGGTGAGGATCGCTGGTTTGGCAGGTAGAACTGCTGTACCAGCTATCTTCGCGTCTGGTATCCACTGCTACGTCACTTAACATCAAGTGAAGTGGAGTTATCTGTCGGACCTATTTCTGAAAAAGAATGATGGAATAGAAAACCTAAACGCGTTGGCAACTTAAATTTATCACGCAAACATGATATAATTCTATTCAATGGTAAAATTTATTAATGGTATTTTCTGTTATGTAACTATCTTACTAACTGGACTTAGGATTTCGCAAGTACGAAGTATGTAAAATGCAAGTATGATAGAATCACACAAGTATTACATTTTTTCCCAACAACCGATTTAAATTCATTCAATATCAAATGTGGCGTCATTGACGTTAGTTAGGTTATTTCAACCGCACGTAGTCACACTTAGGTACCTAAAACATTATTGTCTTTATTTCCAGATGGGCAAAGTAGATATTCTAATCAACAACGCGGGCACGGTCTTTGGCTACACCCTTCTAGAACTCACGGACAATGCCATCGAAACTACGTACAAAGTCAACATTCTCTCACACTATTGGGTAAGTTAAGCATCTCTGTAGGTAGGTAGGTATATTTTTTCGAAGGTGGGGAGTAAAAAAGACCTCTAGCAGGCAGCAATGGCGAAACATAGTGAAGCGCATCACATCTGCCCCCTCCAATAATACTACAAGTGCATAGCGATCACGACCGCTCTGTCAAGAGCGTACCGGCTAAGAAGAAGAGTAAAATTGCTTTATGTACAGAAAAATATTAAACACTAGTGTACTTCAGGGTCGATAGTGATCTAGTGATTCTACGGCGGATGGTGGCTCCCCAGCGATGAGCTGCGTACCTAGAAAATTAAGAACCATTCGCTTTTTGCCGGCTTGAATTCCGCTAAGGATTTCACCGTCCCAGACCTGACGTGTTGTAATGTCATTTGTGACCAACAGCACAGCATAGGTACACATTGCAGAGAAAAAACTAACGAGCCTTACAGTAGTCGCATATGATGTTCAAATGTTACACATCATATGCGACTATTGTAAGGCCTAAGGACAACTGTAATCTCACCTTAGTAATAAGCAATTTTAACATTATAATCGGAAACTACCACCGCGCGCGACTTCCTGTTTTTCCTGTCCTTGATGACACGAAATCACTTCCACAAATTACAAAAAAGCGAGATGAAAGATGTTACAAATCAAAAAGAAATCACCTACACATACAATTTGCGACCAAACTGCTTGTAATACCGAAGGCCATCTGGTCAGCAAGGATGTGTTGAGCCTAAACTGGACTGATTGATACCCACATGAAATTGACAACTCTCTAGAAAGTGAGAACGCGATGGTACACATAAACATGAGCCTGTACGAACTCTCGTATGGGCCGGTGTGATCAATCCCTTATAAGTTGAGTTGTTACAAGTTTAAGGTATAATGGGACTGGCTTAAACAGCGCGGAATGAGCCCAGTGCGAACAGTCCCGGTCCATCGCCACCAAGTCCACAACCACCGCCGTCAGTGGTCGCCCAGCTGGCGGGTAGCGACCCGCCCAGCTACCTAGCTAATTGCCTAGCTATCTACCTCGCCAGGTTATTATGGTATGGTAAATGTTCCGCCTAGCCTTCATCCGCCATACCATCCGAAAAAGAACTTTGTTCCAAAAATCTATAGGCCGCCCGATCGCTGAGTTTCTCACACACTTATCTGCCCAGTTTTACTTTAAAGTTGGACACGGAACGCTCCGTCTGTCTTCTGTCTCTGGTTGGACCCTGCATTATCGCACGCACTACACCAACGGCCCGATTCATTCTTACATTCCAGCCGATCCAGGAATCTGTTGAACATGGCTTACCACACTGAACTTTCCTGGAGTGTGAGTGTGTGTAAACCTATTCCTTGCATATAGTACTGAGTCAGCAATAATATTTTATCGGCGTAGGTAAGTTAGGAACACTTTTCCATGTGTCGCATATGAATTTAACTACCCACCCTTATTTTCAGACAGTGAAGTCGTTTCTGCCGGACATGATAAAGTCGGGCAAGGGGCACATCGTGACGGTGGGCTCGGTGGCGGGGCTGCTGGGCACGTATCGATGCACCGACTACAGTGCGACCAAGTTCGCCACCGTAGGTTTTCACGAGAGCCTATTTACTGAACTCCGGGTAAGCATGCAGCACATTAGCTTATCTTTTTATCAGAATTCTCAGTCGTTAGCGGGACAAAGCTAAAGGTGACGAGCGGGAATGACCGTTCATTAGCGAGTTATTTTGAAGTTTGATATGTTGTTCTTTAAAAAATCCCTGCGCATAGGACCACATGCCTGATAGGTACCGTAGCTGGCCCTAAAAGTGCAGAGAGATCTATCAAATGATGTCGCACCATTTATCCGCTTCGGAGTTGGGGTAAACATCATGACAAGAACTGTCTATAGGCTTAGTGTAAATGCAAGGACATGATTCTATCAACTATTTATAGGCTTTTACGTGCAAGGTCAAGAGCCTTTCCACACTAGATCGAATCGACTGTCTTTCTTGGCGATAGTTCATACGATCCCAGCATTCGTAAAGATCCACAATATCCTTGCCTGATCTTTATATAGCTATTTTTATGTATTTTAAAGGCACACGGTCACAACACGATACACGCGACCCTCGTATGCCCGTCGTACATTAACACGAGTATGTTCGACGGTGCCACCCCGCGCCTCGTGCACATGCTCGAGCCGGACTATGTGGCGGACACCATGATCGACTCCATCCGCAAGAACGAGGTCAACTGCATAATGCCCGGCTCCGTCAGATATCTACTGCCGCTCAAATGGTGAGGGTTATATTACATACACACCTCGTGCACATGCTCGAGCCGGACTACGTGGCGGACACCATGATCGACTCCATCCGCAAGAACGAGGTCAACTGTATAATGCCCGGCTCCGTCAGATATCTACTGCCGCTCAAATGGTGAGGGTCATATTACATACAAGCCTCGTGCACATGCTCGAGCCGGACTACGTGGCGGACACCATGATCGACTCCATCCGCAAGAACGAGTTCAACTGTATAATGCTCGGCTCCGTCAGATATCTACTGCCGCTAAAATGGTCATTGTCATATTACATCATGATCAATATCATCAGCCTATTATTGGCCCCACTGCTGGGGCACAGGTCTTCCCTATGGATGGAATAGAGAGATTGAGTCATGACTCAATCAATGAGCCAATGGCGGGTGCTTACGACTGGATATGCAGCAGAGACCAAACGGCTTAACATGCTTTCCGAAGCAAGAAGGAGCTCGAGTTAATTAGTTTTTGGTCACCAATCCAATGAGCGACCATTCCGAAAATTCCTTAACTTCCACGATCGCAAGCCAAACGCGCTACCCATCTGCGCCATCGAGCTCCTCAATACATATTACATCATAATACCATGTTTAAATCTCAAATGGTTAGGATAATGGTATATTAACATGAGCATATTCACAGTACTAATTTGATTGCCTACCTGGGCGTGGTGTGAGGAGACGTTACCAACCCTCAAATACGATTGAGCGAAGTGATGGCTAGTTCGTGAGTCATGCTCGTGGACAGGTGCTCCCTGTAGAGATGAGTCTGCCCAGTACTACTTAATTTACTTATTGAATATTTAACAATATTCTTTGAGTTTAAAATTTTATCTATCTTCTATATAAACTTAATTTTATATATCTTTCTTTTCAGCCTGCTACCTGCAAAGATGTGCTGGGATTTAATGAACCGAGTCATGAAAGGCCCCCAATCTATGATGGGATTCGCTGCTAAACCAAAGGTTGCGTAATATTTAGTAAATCGATCTACCTGTAACTATTAATCTATTGTGCAAATTTATGTATAGGCACTGATAAAGATATTTTATTTGTAAGTATGTTTAGATGGGTTTCCCACAGTTACATTTTATGAAAGAGTTATTATTAGTCATCCAAGTCATAATTTTAATTTGTTGGGAAAGTATCAAACAAAGAAAATTTAAAAAAAATCAGAGATGAAAAATTTTAAGACTGAAGGAATTGACCCTAAATTGGAAGTCCTAATTTAATGAGCAGAAAGAAAACAAATGAATAAATAAATTATTATCAGGAATAGAATCGTCTTTTATTTCATAAATAAATAAGAGTGACTAGTTCTCACATACCATCACAATTTTATTGCCTTAAAAATAATATCACTGGTGATCAAAACAAGTCGTAGAAATAATCCAATCCCTGACCTAGCTCCCATATGGCAACACCGGTACCAAACTCTCGTGCTAAATCTAGTCGCCTTTGTATAGAATATAGTGTTGGATAAAATATTTTCTTTGCTCCCTGAGATGTTCTGTAAAAAGAAAAATAAAAATCATTTAATAATTTTGTGAGGATTTGATTTGATTGCTTTTTTATTAAATTTTTGCTAAGCTTTACTTCATGAGCCTTGCAAGGTTGGCAGTATATATAGGTATATCAATTCATGTAGTCAGTTAATCCACCCATTACCTATACTAAGTACAATTAGACTTTAAGAATTTTACTAGCTGTAAAAACAATTTATCATATCACTATTTATTTCCAAATTGAGTGAAGAAACTTAATAACATAATAATTAAACTAAAAGTAACTTTTATAAGCAAAACCACCACCATGTCCAGGAAAAGTTTTAATTTTGTCTTTTTTAATCCCAGTTCATTAGAAAATTCATATTTATAATACCAAAATGATAATTCCTTACCTAATTTCTATATAATTCTCTGCAGTATTGTTATTATATGATAGAGCCTGATTATTCTTAGCATTTTTCAGAAGCTCTATATACTCTGTGCCCACAATTGGTCCACCACCATTGGCAGTATAAGAGTTGCCATAGAAATTAAGACCAAGTAATATTTTTGATCTCTTTGATGGGTTCTCTTCATTGTCTATAAGTTTCTCTACACACAGCCTCATCCAATATAATGGAGCATTTGGTCCTAGAATGATCAAAACAAAAGTATATTGTAAATTTTATTTTTCAATTAAAAAAAATCACATAGGGTTGGTAGACCCAATGCCAAACTATGTATCAATTGGTAACAATAGCAATAGTTCAGAATATAAAAAAAAATAAGAAAGAAGACTATGACAAGAAAAATAACATTATTTTACCTGGTTTTTGTGGGTTTGAAAAGTCATATGTCATAACAGATACAGCCTCTACATAAGGATAGATATCATTGAAGGCCTGAATAAAGAATTCATCAGTGGGATAGCCTCGGAAAGGTGGATACACCAGAATCAGCTTTAAGTCATCTTCATTCATTTCCATCCCTGCCCAGAACACAGAAAACCTTACTATAACAATAGCAGAACAGTATACTGATGTCATTTATTTACTACTAGACAAATTGCATTTTTAATTACAATAGCAAGATTTAAAAAACCATTGCTTGAAAATGACAATCTTAAAGTCAATTATCATATATTAAGCTAAACATCTTTATTTGTTAAAAGTTCTTATTTTTTTTATAAAAACAAAATAAAAAGTTTTATTGAACATGCATACTTGATAACTAGAGACTGGATGCATAGGTATTTAACTAAACTCATTTTTTGGCTGACAAATTATAGAACAAATTCTTAGGATATTTTATTAAAAAATATCCCATGATTCTGGTATTGCATAACTAATTGGATTTATATTTACATTTATTTATTCATTAATGATAACCATATAATGTTGTAACAGAGCAATAGTCATTTGTATCAAACTGGGTTTATTAGAACTCACCGCATATACACTTAATTTTTAATTCAATAAGTGCTTTCCATAATAGCCAACTTCTCAATTTTTACTAAAAATGCCTCAGATTACCTGATCTCTAATGATAACATGCATGGTACAGTAGCTATCAAGATAAATACTCACCAAACTGTTGTATGAACTTCACAGATTTATCTACATATTTTCCAATTTGAGAGAGTATCTCAAGAACTACTCCATCAAATTTCCACTGTTTGCATGTCTTCTTTATTTCTTCTATTAGAGCCCTTTGTTCAGTATGAGCAGTGGGTTCCATAAAGAAAGATTTAAGATCAGTAGGCTGCCAGTTTTCAAACAGGATTCTAGGCAATACTAAAAGCATGAAATAAAATTATTATATTTGTAATGAAATATTTTTCCTTTGAAATATAGTTTAGCAACTAGCATAGTAAACTTACTTTTTAAATTATTTGACAATCCCTTCTGCCTTACAGATTTCATCCAAGCATGATCCACATCATGGAGTCCTGATATTATGTATATATTGGGAGATTGTCTTTTGACTTGTAGCCATACTGGAGAAATGTAATTAAACTTTGGTGCCCATGTTTTGGCCACATCGTAACCTTTATTATTCCACTAAAAACGTGTATTTATACATTATTACAAATGGAAAAGCATATTAATAAAATTGGCAATTACAAATAGGCAAATCAAATACCTATACAAAATTTAAGATCTATCGATATATCATATTACATAAAATATATGTATGTAAAATGAAAGTTATCATTAATATTTCAACAACTTACAGGCGTAACATAGCCCAGAACAGAATTTTTAAAGTTTCTCTTAGTTAATTCTTGATGGTAAGTGGCATGATATTTGATAATATCCTTTGCGAGTGGAGTCTCATTAACAAGTTTACGATCTAGAACATTATTTTTTCGGGGCCCGTCTTGGGCTTTCACACCTTTTTGGCCCTTTTTATCAGTTGGTGGAGACAGCGTCGCTAAACACACATTGAGCAGGAAGATTATCTGAAGAGTTGTTTTGATACATCTCATTTTCTGGAAGTACGAACAATCTTTTAACAGTAACAGACAGTCACACTTTACAAAAAACAGGTTAATTATTTCTTTAGCAAGTAACCGGTCTATCCGGTATATTATACTACTCTTTGGGTCTATCTATTAGAACAGTTTTTAGACGCAGTCGCACGCAAAGCACTAACAAAACGATAGGTATTTGGTGTATTCCGAAATATACATCAGTATACTATACTGGCCAGTGGTAATGACGTCACGAATCCGACGCCATTTTGTACTTGTATGCTACCATATTTTTACCGGGAAAACGAATATGACGTAAGACCGAGCGTGCGTGAGAAGCATTCAAATTTTATTTCTTTTTTATTTAAAGAACAATAACGGCATCCTGATGAGGTGAATAAAAAATATTCTTCATTCGCACTTTTTTTTTTAATATTTCGTCGAATTATGCCGTCAGTGCACTGGCCAATATATTTCGGAACAATTCACCAGTATAGCGTCGATTCATGACGTCATTAGCACTGGCCAGTATACTGGTATATATTACGGAATATACCCATAAGTAACGAAGGAAACGAACCAACCAGCGAACAATGTCAAATCGAATTGTCAAAATTGACTTTGACAATAGATCTGTATAGGAAGGCAAAGCATAGAAAGTCCATATAGCCTCGTCTGAAGCGTTTTTTTCCTTGTTTTTATATTGAAATATAACTAATCTGACCATAAATACTGTTACATAAAAACTTTTAATTTTTCAACTTTTTAATTATTTTGAATTTGGAACACGTATATTATTTTCAAAACTTTCACATATTTTTTCATGTTCATTATCAAATTAAAATATGGAATGGAGTGTTAAAGAAAACAGGATTACAGTGATCACCTTGCACAAAGTGGGTATGGCGCCATCGGTCATATTCCAGACACTTCAAAAGCATGGTATCAGCCGTATGTTCGTACGAGGGCGGGATGATAAGTAACAAGCCCCTGCTATTTAAATAGTTTAAATTAAAAATATATATATGTCATTTTTAAATTCGTACCTCTAGCCTACCTATATTCTAAATTTGAATTTGGTGGCGTGAAAATTTTATTGATTTTTTGTCATTTGAAAATATATTTCGTCAACAATGGATAAAATTGAACAAAGAGCGGTGATAAAGTTTCTTCATATGAAGGGCATGAAGGGGAAAGACATAGATAAATGATTGGTCTCACTTCACTCGAGTGAAGCGAGAAAGATATCTATGACGACTTAAAGAATGTTATGGGTGAATGTGCTCCGTTTAATGCCACAGTAAAAATCTGCGTGGCGAGTTTAAACGCGGTCGTACATGTGTCCAAGATGAAGCCCACCCCGGAAGTCCAAAAAGCGTCACGACTCTGGAAATGGTCGTGAAAGTACATGATATAGTTGTAGCAGATCGACGATTGAAGTAATCTCAAATAGCTAACACTACAGACAGGTATCTCAAAAGAACGGGTACATCTTATCCTAAGTGAGGAATTAAATATGAAAAAGTTATCGGCCCGTTGGGTGCCGCGATTGCTTACGCACGATCAAATAAGGTTTCGGGTGCAAAACTCAAATGAATGTCTGGACCGTTATCAAAGTAATAAGGCCGATTTTTTACATCTATTTGTAACAACAGATGAAATATGGGTTCTCATTACACGCCAGAATCAAAACTTCAATGAAAACAGTGGAATCAATCGGGATGCCCGGCTTCAACAAAGCCATGGCTGTAAAGTCGACTGGAAAAGTGATGGCTTCCGTCTTTAGGGATGCAGATGGGATCTTGATGATAGATTACCTTCCTAAAGGCCAAACAATTAATTGAGAATACTACGCTAATCTTCTAGATAAGCTTCCTCAACGTATTCAGCAAAAACGACCAGGTTTGGTGAAAAAAAAAAAACATCTTCCACCATGACAACGCTAGAGTTCACACACTTGTTAAAGCAATGGCAAAAATCAACGAATTGAAGTATGGATTGCTGCCCTACACACCTTATTCGCCTGATCTAGCGTCATCAGCCTTCCACTTATTCCCTAAGCTCAAAACTTTTTGGGCGGGCAGAAATTTGCCACAAATGATGAAGTCATAGGCTCTGTAGGGGAGTATTCTGCAGGCCTCGAAAGAAATCATTTTATGAAAGGCATCACTGCTTTAGAACGAAGATGGAATAAGTTCGTAGAGGTTCACGGAGACTATCGAAAAATAAAATTAATTTTATCACGGAAAGTTAAGTGTTTTCTTATTAGGCTAGTTACTTATCATCCCGCCCTCGTATATCGTACCATCAACAGATATAACAACACTTCGTCTGTCGAAGACCAGAAGAGATCGGGGCAGCCGCGTGCTGTTAGAACTACAAAGGCTGTTAATACTGTTAAAGCCAAAGATTTAAATTGTTAGATATGCCCTTACTCCGTGTCCTTACCATAGTTTGACCGCACTGAAATCTGTCTACACTCGAATGAGCGAACTCCTATCTCACCATGTCTTGTCTAATCAGTGTTCATCTGAACATTTGACGTTGGTGATTAAAATACCGAGGCATTTGCATTGCGAGAAAAGTGTCAAAATGCCGTCGCGTGCCTTCCGTAAATGCACCAACAATACTAGGAATACAAATAAAGCTAATGGTGTAATATTTCACTCGTAAGTTTTTAGATTTTATTTATTGATGTGTAACATCTTTCCTCTCGATTTCCTGCAATTTGTGGGAGTGATTTCGTGAAATGGGACGGAAGTATGTAACAGGAAGTCGCGAAAGCGTGCGCTGTTTGATTTGATTTTAGAACATAATGTTCAAATGGCTAATTCCGTTTGTAGTAGGTTTTATTTCTTTTTTTACTAATATAAGGTAAGATATCAAATGTTACACATCATTTTTTTTTTTCGGTAATAGGTAAGCGCTTGACCATAATTCGCCTGATGGAAAGCAATATTATGGTCTACGATGGAGCGCGCTTACCTAATAAAAACCGATTCACTCTTGCTTTGAAGACCGCTAGATTGTAGTGCTCGGGGAACAAGGGCTCAGGCAAGGAATTCCACAGTTTGGCAGTCCGCACGATGAAGCTAGACGCGAATCGCTTAGTGCGAGTCTTTGGAACTGCCACCGTGAATCGATGTCGCCTTGCCGTTTCCCTGCTCGTCCGGTAGTAGAAAGGGGCGGGAGGAATTAGCTCATTAGGAATCATACGCGACTACTGTAAGGCTTGCTCGTTTCTTTTATTAAATTTATTTCCTTTCGTTGACATTAATATTGAAAACTTATCGGACAGCGCATGACACAGAAAGTAGTGTCGGAAATGATTGAAAGTCAAAATTCTCTCGGTACCGCGTTGTGCGTTTTAACGTTTGTCCGCCCGTGAAGTTTCATAAAAAATAGTTCTAAATTTGAAAGAACTAATAAATATAAATATTGTTAATTATTGTACGCACTTACCTACAAAATCGTGCAAATCTTAAGTGGGAGCGCAAATTTTAAAGCGCGCCCTGATTATGCCCTGCCTACGGTCTGGTATAAATTAGTATTAACTCAGTTGAGATTGGGATTCACATTTAATTCATTTTCAAAGATTTCCTATATAAAAGGAATATTTTTTTTTCCTATTACATACATAATATACATATAAACGAAACTACACTACAATTATTTTGTTCATATTTTAATGTTATTATATTTATTATGAAAAAATTCAACCCTTGTCAACAAGCAACAGTGGTTCAGTGGTAGAAAGCTCGCCTGCCACGCACACAATTATTGTAGGTAAAGGAGATTGCTCAGCTTCCATACATGTTTGGCCTAAAGACCAATAATCATGAAAAATTCGAAATTATATATAAATTACTGTAGAAATGAACATTATTGACGGACACCCCTGTGAACTTCTATAAACTATATACAGGTACTCTGTGACAGAAACTATGTGATGATTGTGAACGAGCCACAGATTAGAGAGAATTTTTAAACTCTCGTTAATCAAAGAAAGCTAAGAGATTTAGGTTCTATAGCCATATATTCAGTAGCTTCATTTTTTTTGTTATGTTTTTAAGATAACCATATTTTAGATTTTTAGTGTATCACACCTTATAATTTTATTTATTTATTAATTTATAGTCAGGGAACGTAGGCCCATAGATAGATACCTTAAAGTCTAACATATATACAGATTATAATGTGTATAGGGAGGTGTTTGGCGAAAAATGTATGGCAATAGACTTTATGATGTCGCCTACCATCTATAATAATTGTCTGAGCACATTTGCATCTAGTGAAAATGATAATATAGCTGTGGATATTAATACCACAGCGTAATAAAAAAAAATGATTTATTTTATCGATCTTTACAAAATTGATTTGTTTTATGTTATATAAACAACTTCGATCAGTCTTTGGCTTAATGTTACTACACCCATAGCAATTAAAAATAATTTGTATGTTTTCCAAACCGGTAAAATTAAAAGTCCTTTTTAAAGTAAATATATTATACAATGGTGTCCGTTGAAATCTAATGACTATAAATTAAATTATAAATTACGCCAAGAATTACCGTGTATGTCAATATTTTTTGTGCATTTGGGCCAATTTGAGCAATCTCCTTTTCAGTTAATGTTCCGTCTTGTGTATGTTACGGTAGTTTCATTAAATGAGTCATAGTAACGAGAGTAAGTTAGTCAAACTACCGCTCTCAGTCCAAGACTGCTAAGGTTACTGCCTAGGGAAAGAATAGAGCATTAAAAGAAAGAGAGAGAGAAAAGGGACTGTAGATGTGATGCAAGATTGAAAGAAAAGAATTGAGAGAATTCAAGAATAAAGAGAGAAAAATTTAAAAAATATAGGTAGGTTTTTTAGATTCGCCATACAAACTTCCAACCCTTAAGGGGTGACTAACTTGACGAAAAATGCATAAACATTTTTTATTTCTAACGAAAACATAAATGAAAAAGTCTGATTGATATACGTTTTATAGATTCTTTTATTTTACACTCCTATTTTTACACCATTGAGGAATAATTTTAGAGATAAAAGCTTGCCTGCCTATCTCCTTTCTCGGATCTTTAAACCAAGTTTCACCTAAATCGATTTAGCGGTTTCAGCATGAAGATGTAACAGAGAGGTACACTTTCGAATTTTTAATGTTACTAGCACCCTCTCGCGATTCGTCCACGTTAACTTTAGTTTTTGGAAAATCCCTCAGGAACCTAACACTTTTCCGGGATAAAAAGTAGTGTCGCACTCCAGGCGATAAACTATATGCCTACCAAATATCAACGAAATCTGTTCAGTAGTTTTAATGTGATTGAGTAAGAAACATACACACTTTCACATTTAAAATATGAATTATTAAATATATATTAAGTCGGAAGTAAGTAAGTCTAAGAGATGCTCTAAGAAGATAGTAGATACTACTATTAAGAAAAGCTACGTAAGTATTTAAAGCAAATCTAAAGTTTATTTATTACTTGGTGTAAAAAAGTCTATTCTTAGTGGTCACTACGTAAACCCCCCTTATATCGGCAAAAGAAAGAAAGTAAAGCTTGCGAATGAACGGGGGGGTTACTGATAACTCAGTATGTATTCAGAGAGCGAACTCTTGGCCGCGCGATGGCTCCGCGAATTGTGATTTCTTTCGCGCTAACGATACTCGCTTTAGGTAAGAAAAAGTTGACAGAGCTATAAGTTCAGAAAATTGTTAATACAGTTTAAGTGAATAAAATAATAAAGTTATCTACTACCTACATGATTAACAAAATTTAAAAAAAAAATGGGCAAGTGTAGTAGTGTAGCTTTGAATGTATGTTAATGTTTTCAGGAGTGCAGTGTACGCATGTGAGCAAAAGGAGTTTAAGCAGTAATGTGAAATGTCACGTCACGGGCAGATTTTTCAGGTGTTTATTTGATAAAATAATTCCCCTGTCAATATTACTACATAATTAATGCAAGTTAACTGTTGTACTTCGAGTCGACCAATGATCGGGAAGCTGAGTTTTTTGGTACATCGCATATAAAATAAGCGATTAAATGTTTTAATGAACTTTCCTGGGAAGAAAAGCCGAATGAGATTCATAAAATGAAAATGAATTGTTTACAAATAAATATATTCAAGTTTACACTAAAATTTTACAAAATTTTACATAGGGTAAAATGTAGTACTGATTTTATCGTTGTATTTAAACTGTAAAACAAGAAGTTGTTACGTTACCTACGTGGGGAAGTATTGCTTGATAAACGATCGTCATGATCAGGTTTGACAAAAAACACAAATCGTATCACACGCATTCATCAATAATTTTCCAATTATACTAAGTAGTAGGTAATTCAAATGATAGTGAAATCGCTCGACTTTTCATGCCCCCTGGAGCTCAATTTTTGAATCACTCGCCTTGCGTCGAACGCTCGATTTCTATTTATTTTGGTTCGACATAATAAATTCCGTATTTTTGAATCGCTCGACGTCAACGAGCGGTCTCGACTACTCGTTGCACGTTGGAGAATGACGGAGGCGAATGGTAGAATTATTTGTCAAATTTATGTCAATCTTTTTAAAATACAGATAAGATGACGACTTGATTCGACGTTTTTATCTTTTCGAACAAAAAAGGCAAAAGATTAAATAACCAGTTGTTGACAAATTATTTTTCACAGCGGTAATGACTGCTTTTTATCTTTTTCCGTGAAATTAATAAAAATAAATATTTTGTATTAAACTGGTAACACTGTAGATGAACGCATCAAAAATACGGGGAAAATCAGTATCATGCGATTTCGAAGGCGGTCAGGCGAGCGAATCAAAAATAGAGCTCCCGGAGACGGACAAGTCGACTTGTCAAGTCTACGTGATTGAAGCGAATAGTCATTACAGCGTCAAGTCAACGCGGTAAACGATCAATATTCGCTTCAATCATGTAGACTTGATAAGTCAACTTGATCGTCTCCGGTGACGCTTTATAAGAACATTAGAAGTGCCTTTTGAGTCTATAAAAATAAAGCAAATCGCTTATAGTTTTTAAACTATTCATTTTACATTTGTGAAAAATTAATTTATTTATTTACTTTATTCGTCCGTATTTGGGTCACAGACCTACATGTATGTACCAAATTTCAACTTGATTAGTCCAGATGGTTCCGGGCAAAACGACTGTGACAGATAGACAAACGAGTTATTCTATAAAGGTTCCGTTTTTGCCGATTGAGGTCCGGAACCCTAAAAAAGAGGATAATATGGTCGCACTTCTGTCTATTTTAAAGTATGGATGGCAAACCTAGCAGTGGTACACTTTGTCTCATCAGTTATTTTCTATACAGTTGTACTTTTGTTCTTTCCTGTTCGGTCTCTCGGTGGCCTCGGTTGTTCGGGGGACATTTGTACACGGAATCTTTAATACCTCGTGCGTGTTGCTCGATACAGTTGTAAGCGAACTATTTCGGCGGACAAGAAAGAAATACTGCCGACGAAAGTCCCTCATCTGCGCAGGCAATTCACTTATTGCCTGAATTCTCCTCTCAAATGTCTTCTCTTTTTATTAAATTTCATGTTCATTATAACACAACATAATCTGAAAATATTCACTTCCATAGTATGCGCTTTTCAAAATTTTCGGGGGACAAATGTTCGCACATCGTGTGCGTTGAGTCCGTGACAAGTCCTCGGCGGACCTTTTCTTCACGGTTCTGGGACTTTTGTACTCCACGAACAAAAATCCTTAGTCTGCGCAGGCTATTAGCACTATCAGGCCTACTTGCACCAAAGTTCTTAAATAAAATAAAAAAAAATCATGTTTAAGTCTCGTTTCATCAATTTTAAATAAATAATTGACTTGAAAATCATGAAAGTTATAGCTATTCAGGATTAAACTTTTTGAATTAAGAATGTTGGTGCAAGTGGTCCTAAATATCAGCTGGAGTGGGATAATTTGCTGTGATTTATCGAAACATTAAGGAAGAGGTTATTTCTAGGCTTGAGTGGTGGTCTGCAGTGGTGGCCTAGCCCAGAGGTAACTTAGCGAGTGGCTTGCACTGTGACCTAATTACGGTATTATGCGTACCTACCTGTGTCTGTTTTTCTAGGATTTGTCACCAAGCAGTGAAAATCTACTATGACACGTAAAAAAGGCATAATTCTTCTCGGTCTCCGTAATGTTTTACAGCAGGCTAAATCTTTACGCATACGCAACATCAAATATTTTGAATTTTATTGACAACTAGCCCCGCGGTGTTACCCGCGGTTTATTAGGGATATTAAAAATAGCAGTAAAATGTAGCCTATGTGTTAATCTAGGGTGTCAGCTAACTCCATACCAAATTTTATTAATATCGCTCCAGCCGTTTACACGTGTAGAAGTAACAAGCATACACACTTACAATCTTTCGCCTTTATAAGTAATATTAGTGTGATTCCGAAAACTCTCGCCATGAAATTTGAATACAATTTCTCAGTCAAAGTGAAACCTTATTAGTAGAAATCTCTGTTAGTGTAACTAACGTCAGGCTGACTTGCAAATTCATCACGGACGACAATACCTAACACTTTTACTGTCGACTCGACCAGAAAATTGTATGCTTTTTGAGTTCGACCCGACCGAGTGAGTATGTCTAATGTTCATTTTATTAGACAGAGTACCGCTACCGTTACGTTTACTGATGACTTTACATTTTGATAACCGGTAGGGATAATGGTTGTTAAAACCGCTCCAAATGCCCTGTTTTAGTGCTGGTAAGAATATTTTTGGATTTCATTACCTACCGAAACTGCTAACGCAACTAACACGTAGAATTTAGCCAGTCGAAATTGAGCCAGTACTAATTGGTTCTATCAATTACATTAGGCGCCGATATAAGCTCCCGAGACTAACAACAACGGCTTGACATTCCGAAGCACGACGCGAGTAGCTCAATTTTTTTTGTCATCCGTCCTATAACCGGCTATTACGTGAATTACTTAATTTTCACGATCGCAGAACAAATGCGCTAACCATTTGCACCAGCTCCTCAGATGCCGTCAAAATTACAAAGTGTTATGGTTATACTGTTGTCAAAATTACAAATAGCAAATACCATGAATGCTGGTATTTGCTATTTGTAATTTTAGTGTACATAGCAATATGGGTGCCTTCATGCTTCGACTATCGGATTCGCGTTATGACTGCATGACTGCAACTTATATAAAACTATAATTATTCAAGAGAATCAGAATATATTTTACATTGCAAGTTCAGTTGATGGTTATTTAATAATGATTTACATTATATCATAAAAAAAAATGGGTGCGTGTACTTATGTAGGCGCGTGAGAAGTTATCCTTCTTTGGCATCGTTTAAAATTAGTTTTTAATTGCATGCAAATAATTAATTACAATAAATTAATAAAAAGTCTGGAAAAGGCACAGTCAATAAAGTTCAGTTGTAATTTGAAAAAATAAATAAATAATCAAAATATTCAATTAAAATCGCTACTGAATATAATTTATTAGAACATAATGTGATTTGCACTTGTATGAAACTCAAACACGTATTCCGAATATACAAACTAGAAACATGAGGATAAATATTATAAATATGAATACCTATAACTGTTACTTTATTACAAAAAATAAAGATGTGGTTTTTGGTTCTTCTACACCAATGGTCAAGAGATGGCGCTGTAGTCTCCTGAATCGCGCTTTGGTTCCGTTGTTCCAGATTAATAAATACTTTTGATAGGCCTTCACAATGCAGTCGTTAGCACCCACTAAATAGAGATTCTATTTCTATTTTGTTGGTAGATTTTCTTAATGTGCGGTAAACACAAAAGTAACAGCACGAACTGTTAATTTTTGTGTTACACTGATGCGCGCGCATCTTAAAATTTCACTCTCATCATTTTTTCATAACGCGCCTAAAGAAGTATAACTTCAAAAACATTAGGTACTCGAGAATTACTTAGATACCTATATCCATTTTAATTGAAGCAATTGACTAGGCAGATAAGCTAAAGTACTTTGCGATTGCCTATTTCACCTCTTGCTGATAAAGTCGCTGCTAAATTAATTAGCACACATAATTATGCCAATAAACTAGGAATTTTTGGTTTCACAATTATTGGATAGAATATCGGATAGACAAAATAGGATAAGTATATCAGTAACCTTGACCTTTTTTAATGTGTGTGTTTATCTTAAGAGCTAAATCAGAGTAAGTTAGGCAGTAATATATCCTGTATGTTAACCATGTATGTCAAACATGAAGAAACTAAAAAAATAACAGGCTATTTTCTTAATTTGCACTGAAACAGGAAGTGGCATTTAAAATTTTACGCGATCTTTTAAAAACTAGAGCGACTTCACTCGACTTGAAATCTTAATTATAATAGATTTCGAAAACCAAATTATACAAAAAATAACAAAAATACAAATTTTCTCAAGCATCCCACGAATAACCGAGAAAAATACATTGCACTAAAAAAGTGATAAAATGTGTGTCAGTAGGTAAAGAAAGCATTTTAACAGCCACTTAAAAGCACTCGGACGTAACTTCCGCGGACGAAGTGCATGCATAATACACGCGGCAGTGGCGCCGTTCGCGCGGTCAGGAAACGCGGGGAACTTCAGTTCAAAGACCCTCCGACTTTCGCCGCAACCTTGACTGAGCGATGCGAGCTGCGCTTCATTCGCGCCATTTCCTAGTGTGCGTTTCGAGAAATTCACTTTCGCTATTCATTTCGACGATTGTGATGTGAATTACTCGCCTATAATATAAAACATAATTGTTGTTGTGTTTTATGTTTTATATTAAAGGTGAAAACTTCATGTGAACTAGACACATAGATAAACGAAAGTGAAAAAATATAAAGACAAGAAAAATATCTTTATCACCTTATTTCCAACCAGAATTTTGACTCGTAGTTAAGTGTC